GAGGTGGTGGGGGAGGCGGGGGGGGTGGGGGGGGGGTGTTTGCGTGTGAAACCCCCGCTGTGCAGGAACGACAGAGGCAGAGGATACGGCCCCTCAAAGTCTGTCTGAGTGGCTACTGAAGGGGAACACTTTGCAATTAGAAGGGGGGTCGTGTGAAAAGCGTGGGGGGGCAGAGATTAAGGAGGCTAGGGAGGGGGCTAAGCCAGAGTGATGGGTGAAGGGAGTGTGTGTTGGGGGGGCCAGACTCTAACAAGGTAAGGTGGGTTTTTTAACTCACTCTGAGACTGATCGGCTCTGACAGCCCCAGCCCCACGCTGGGCTGATGAGAAAGGCTTGCTGTTCCCCCCCTCGCGGGGTCACCTCAAATAAATGTTCAAGCAGCTTGAAACACTGATCGTGAGGATGTTCGTGGGGGGAGGGAGCAGACGTCCTTTCGCCCGTACTGGAGCTGCCCTCTCTGCACCTGGTCCATGCCAGCAAAACCCCGCGGCGCTTTCTCCGTGGGAGGAGGCGACTCTCCCAGGAAGGGCCCTGTGCCCCACGAGGAATCGCCCCCCTGGGTTTTCCAGTCCCGGCCGCATGTGTCACCCACACACCAGGGTATGTCTCCACTACAGAGTTTTGTCGGAAACACGGCCACATTTCCGACAAAACTCGCGGAACGTCCACACTGCAATCGCGTTCTTCTGCAAGAAAATCGAAAGAACAGTTTGGTTTTTTCCCGGCATTGGTAATCCTCATTCCACGAGGAAGAATTTGGGTTTTTTCCGGCATGGGTAATCCTCATTCCACGAGGAAGAAGCCTTTTTCCGAAGAGCTCTTTCTGCAAACAGGCGTGTGTGGCTGGGGAAAAGGGAGTTCTTTGGGAAGAAGAGGGACGAGGAAAAAGCGCAGCTTGCCCTGGGGGTCATTCCGCCCGCAGTAATCACAGCTTACACGCGAGAGAGCCTCCATTCAGTCTGGGCGCTCGAACTTTTGAAACTTTTCTGAAAAAGCCAAACTTTTCCGTTAAAAGCGTTTGCGGAAAATCATGCCAGTCTAGGCATAGCCCTAGTGCGGTTCACGGTCCCACGGATTGGCTCTTAGATCACTTACAGCAAGTGATAAGAACAAGGGAACGCCAGGCTGCGAGCCAGCTGGCTTTCTTGCTCAAGCCTGTAGTGGCTCCTACACTAAGCTTCCCAGGTTCAAATCTGCCTGGTGACGGTTACACGAGCAGGAAGAGAATTGTCGGCCTTACACCCGGCCAGAGACTGAGCCTTGCGATCCAGCCCCCGGCTCCTGAGATCAATTGCGCTGCTTTTCTGGGAATGTTTTGTCAAGACAGAGGAACCTCACTGGGCCAGGACTCTCTGATCCAGTAGCTACAGGCAGACCACAGAGCACTGGTGGCTGGGGGCAGGAGCTGCTGGCAGCCAGGAGTGCAGCAGAGCCACGCTAGTGGGCTGATGGCCAGGAGGGAAGCCGGGTTGGGAGGCTGGCAGCCGAGGGGCCCCAGAAACATAAGAACAGCCACCCCCACTGGCTCAGACTAAAGGCCCACCTAGCCCCGTGTCCTGTCTGCGACAGGGGCCAATGCCAAGTGCCCCAGCGGGAAGGAACAGAACGGAGAATCCAGTGCTCCCTCTCCGGTCAAACACCATCCTCCCTGCCCATCCTGGCAAATAGGCATTGATGGACCTGTCCTCCATGAATTAATCTAGGGGTTTTTTTTTAACCTTGTTATCACCTTGGCCTTCACATCATCCTCTGGCAAGGAGTTCCACAAGTTAACAGTGCACTCTGTGTGTGTGGGGGGGAGGGGGGAGACACTGTTCCAAGCAGGGTTGCACGAATACCATGGGACTAACTGAAGATGTTTTGATAGGATAACAAGCCTTGTGGATAAGGGGGAAGCAGGAGATGTGGGAAACTTAAACTTTAGTAAAGCATTTGATACAGTCTCATATGACCTTCTTTTAGATAAATTAGGGACATACAACCTAGAGGGGGCTATTATAAGGTGGGTGCATGACTAGCTGTACAACTGTTCTCAGAGAGTAATCCAAGGTTCGCAGTGATGTTGGAAGGGCAGAACAAGTGGGGTTAGACACTGTTCCAAGCAGGGTTGCACGAATACCATGGGACTAACTGAAGATGTTTTGATAGGATAACAAGCCTTGTGGATAAGGGGGAAGCAGGAGATGTGGGAAACTTAAACTTTAGTGAAGCATTTGATACAGTCTCATATGACCTTCTTTTAGATAAATTAGGGAAATACAACCTAGAGGGGGCTATTATAAGGTGGGTGCATGACTAGCTGTACAACTGTTCTCAGAGAGTAATCCAAGGTTCGCAGTGATGTTGGAAGGGCAGAACAAGTGGGGTTCTGCAGGGAACCATTTGGGGACCCCGCTGTTCAATATCTTCATCGGTGATCTAGATATTGGCCCAGAGAGCACAATTATCAAGTTTGCAGATGATCCCAAGCTGGGAGGGGTTGCCAGTGCTTTGGAGGATAAAGTCGTCATTCCAAATGGTCTGGACAAACTAGAGGACTGGGCTGAGAGAAACAGGGTGCAGTTGAGTAAGGACAAATGCAAAGCTCTCTGCTTAGGGAGGACCAGTCGGTGTCACACACAGAGAATGGGAAGCGACCGTCTGGGAAGGAGCCCTGCAGAAAGGGAGCTCGGGGACCACAAGCTAAGTACGAGTCAACCGTGTGACACTGTCGCAAAAAAAGCCGACATCCGTCTGGGCTGCACGAACAGGGGTGTTGTGAGCAAGACAGGAGGAGCAATCCGGCCCTGCCCCAAATCTGCCCCCAGGCTCCCCCTCTCTGCCCCCACTGTGAGGACTCCTTAGCTAGCCCGGTCCATATGGCAAGTGA